TTAACATGTCATGTCTTGTTTTATCGCAACTAGGGCTATATTTTTTTCATTCAGATAAAGTGGTCATTTTACCGGACTTAACTAAGCACAAGCTCAAAGTGACTATGGCGAGTTAGGAAGTAGCATATTTCTTTGCAAATCAAGTTATCATTCTAAATCAAACTACTACAAAATAAATCTTATATTTAAGATCAGCAGAACATAAGAGCTATTACTTAATTAATTTGTATAAATTAAAAAATTAGTTAAATTAATTTTTTATAATAAATATGAGTTGATTTCTTGCTAAAGTACTTTTTTTAATATGAATGCAATACACAAGAAGATAAACAGCAACAATATGCATAAAAGAATATAGTACAAAATTCAGATAACTAAATTGGAGACATTTAATTAAAAAATTAGTTAAGTTATTGATTTTTCTTAAAAAAAATAATTTGGATGTCCTTATAATTTTACTCAATTTTAAATTAAGTTCTTAGACATTTTTTCCTTTTCATTGGGTCCCTTAAGTATTTTAATTAATCTTATTAGTCCTGCTGTTAAACAGGAGTAGACAGAGTTAAAATTCCGTTAGTCAGCGCATATGTGGATTGACAACTTGAAGTTTGACTTGAGCTCTAATACCTTCTCTAGGCTTTTTACGCCAGAATATTACAAACAGTAAAAATATATATATCAAAATAGTACGGTTTTAAAAGTATTAACTAATATGCTGTATTAAAAATCGTTCTTGACAAAAACGATTTTTAAATTATACACAAGTCGTTCTTGCCGAGAACGATTTGTATATTATTTGATAAGTCAAAAGTGTAATATGCCAAAAATGATTTTATTTTTTTATTATTCTTTTCCTATGTGAGAATCTTTCTGTCATTTTCTTTCCAATGCTCACTTCTCTCACTTGTCAACACAATTCTTTCTTTCCATGTAAACTCGTGAGGCCACAGCAATTTGCATACTTTTATATATTTATATATTCAATTTTTGTTTTCTGCTTCATCTCCTTTCATCTCGGTGCTCTTTCGGTGGTTCAATTGCTCCATTTTCATTGTTCTCTTGCTCTGTTATTTTTTAAGTATTGCTTCTAAACACTTGACAAGCTCTTTTACTGCTGCTGTGGATATGTTGCTTCTCTTCTATTGTTTTTTTTTAATTTGCAGCTGTGATATAGAATTTGATTTTTCATCCATACTATCCTTGATAAGCTAGTATTTCATGAATAATTTTCATGAGGTGAGTGGTGGGTTCAATAATCTAAAATATTTGTACTCTTTCTAAGCTATGTGTCTCTTATTTTGACGGTAAAACTATCGTCTGTTATATTGTTTTAAAATGTTAAGATTTTGATATAAGTTCTAATCTTTTTTTAGTATATGATTATTATTTACTTCTCCAGGAGTTTAAATTTGGTAAGATAAAACTGAAAAATAATTATATATACACCTAAATATCAAATCTGTGGCATATATTAAGTTGGTTAAAAAAAGAAAGAAAGAAAGAAAGTATTCTGCCTACTTCAAATGAACTATTGCTTTCATATAATTTTTAGGTGAAAATAAGGTGTAAGTTATGAAAAATTGAAATGAATGAAAAGCACTCATAATTTCTTTTTTTCATTTTGCCTTTACCCTGCTATTTTTTATGTTGCATTTTTGAATCAGTGATGATGTGTCATGATGTTAGTGTTTTGAATCAAGAGTAAAATACTCTGACTATCTTTTTAGTTGGCATCAATTACATAGACCTACTCTCTATTTTAAAAATATACAGTTTGGTACAATTAGTTAACACCGTTAGGAATATTCTAAAATATTTATTACTTTTCATTTTGAATTAATATACATATTACACTCATTTCACAATTAATTTTAATATTATTATGTAATTATCAACACTTTTCTTCTATTATTTAGTTATGATTTTTCATTCAAATGATTGATAAATCATTATACTAATAATTTCATTTTCATTTATTAGGAGAGAATGTGACAAGTCGTTTGACAGGAGATGAAGTTTTGAAATTGTTCACCAAAAGAACAATTTTCAGTCGCTTCATGCACATTGATGACTGATTCTGAAAAAATCGTTCACCAGAATAACGATTTTGAAAATTATTCACCTAAAAAATGGATTTAAGTGTAGCATATTGATAAATATTTTTAAAATTGTAATATTTTTATACATATTTTTACTGTTTGTAGCATACTGGTAAAAAATACCCTTCTTTACGACATGTTGTTATAGGAGTGTTTGGATGGAAACCAAAATAATAGTTTTAGAAATACTTTTACAGTATGTGAAATAAATATGTAGAAGAATTTATTTCGTTTTACAAAAAAAAATACTTTTTAAAAATATTTTTTGAGTTGGCCAAACACCCTATTATGTGGTTTAAATATGCATGGGAAAAAGACAAAAAAATGCAACTTTAACTTCAGAATCCCCAAAACGTCCGCCCAATTCAAGAAATCCCATTTTGGTACCATGAGACCAAATTGGGATTATTATGTGAAACAAAAAGACCAAATTGCCCTTCATTTTAAATATTATTTTTAAAATATCACAGCCCCTACTGGCTAGCCGGTCATCAGACCTCCAACGGCGGCGGTCACCGGAGTTCCGGCGACCAGCCGACAATTGGTCACCGGAGCTCCGTCGGTCAGAAAATTTTTTTTTGAAAATTTTTACAACTTCAATATAACGGTTAAAACCTTTTGTAATGCTATTAACAACTTCAGTATAGCAATTAACAACAGCTTTTTTGGGAAATTCAACAAACTCCGGCGACCGGAAACAATTTTTTTGAAAATTTTTACAACTTCAATATAATCGTTAACAACTTTTGTAACGCCATTAACAATTTCAATATAGTAATTAACAACAGGTTTTCTGAGAAATTCAACAAACTCCGGCGACCGGAAACAATTTTTTTGAAATTTTTTACAACTTCAATATAACGGTTAACAACTTTTGTAATGCTATTAACAACTTCAGTATAGCAATTAACAACAGTTTTTCTGGGAAATTCAACAAACTCCGACGACCGAAAACAATTTTTTTGAAAATTTTTACAACTTCAGTATAACGGTTAACAATTTTTGTAACCCTATTAACAACTTCAGTATAGCGGTTAACAACAGGTTTTTGAGTTTGTTAAAGGCATTACTGAAGTTATAAAAATGCCATTTTTTGAATTTTTTGAAAAACTTGTTAACTACTATATCAAAGTTGTTAATCGTTATACTGAAGTTGAAAATTTTTACAACTTCAGTATAACGGTTAACAACTTTTATAATGCTATTAACAATTTCAACATAGCAATTAACAACAAGTTTTCTGGGAAATTCAACAAGCTCCGATGACTGGAAATAATTTTTTTTGAAAATTTTTACAACTTCAGTATAACGATTAACAACTTTTGTAAAGCTATTAACAACTTTAGTATATCAGTTAACAACAGATTTTTTTGAAAAATTATATAACTCAAAAACCTGTTATTAACCGCTATACTGAAGTTGTTAATAGGGTTACAAAAGTTATTAATCGTTATACTGAAGTTGTAAAATTTTTTTAAAAAATTGTTTCCGGTCGCCGGAGTTTGTTGAATTTTCTAGAAAAACTGTTGTTAATTGCTATACTGAAGTTGTTAATAGCACTACAAAAGTTGTTAACGGTTATATTGAAGTTGTAAAAATTTTCAAAAAAATTGTTTCCGGTTGCCGGAGTTTGTTGAATTTCCCAGAAAAGCTGTTGTTAATTGTTATACTGAAGTTGTTAATAGCATTACAAAAGTTCTTAACCGTTATATTGAAGTTGTAAAAATTTTCAAAAAAAAATTCCGACCGACGGAGCTCCGGTGACCGGCCGGCCAATAAGGACTGTGATATTTTAAAAATAATATTTAAAATGAAGGGCAATTTGGTCTTTTCCTTTCACATAATAATTCCAATTTGGTCTCATGGTACCAAAATGGGATTTCTTGAATTGAACGGACGTTTTGGGGATTCTGAAGTTAAAGTTGCATTTTTCTGTCTTTTTCCCAATATGCATCTTACCCTATAGAGGCTAAAAGGCATTGGATGCTTAATTCTAGTTTTTTAATCTCACGCTGTACAATCGAATCCCTGAACAGAAGCATTTAAAAAAAAAAAAAAAAGAAGGAAAGAAAGAATCCATGAACAGAAGCGGACAAGGGAGAAGCGAAGCTAAGTGTGTTTAGATAAGTACGAAGTAGTAATACAATTATACAAAGGAATTTATTGCGATTTATTAAGAAAAATATATTTTTTAAAAATTTTAATTATCCAAATACCCTAAGGTGCTTATGTGGCAATTTTAACGAGTCGAATTCTGACTGTGAATCCGTGTATGTCAAAAAACACCCAATTAAAAATCAAACAAAACGATAAAGATATCCAAATTAATTTTTTTGAAATTATTCTCCTTAATTATATATATTAAAACTGCTTTTTATGAGAACTTTTATAATTAATAGGGATGAGGGATCTTTTTGAAGAAATCCTAAATTTAAAAAATAAAATGAATTGAGATTTTATTATATTTAAAATTAAATTTAGTACTCAACAAAGCTACCTAATATATAAATAACCAAGAAACATAAATTATCTGACAAAAATATATTCACGTATCAGATTATTAATCTAACCAGAAAATAATAAAAGTAGTTTATTTTCAAAATTTCACAGACTAATAAAAGCATAAAACCCGCCAAGTTGTAGGGCACTAAGAAAAAACAAAAGAACTTTCCGGGAACTGAAGACCTTCAACTTCAAGGCACTTCACTCAACCAAAAAAAAAACAAAAAGACCTTCAAGACACGGTGTCGTCCTCTTTCTTCACGTCTTCGGTTCACTTTCCGCGAAAGTCACCAACCAAGACGCGAGCGCGATTTCGACGTTCGATGATATATTGCCCCAAATTCTTTTTGCTCTTGTCTGTATCAAATTATCAATCATCCGAGTTTGATCTCGCGCACAATGACCTGCATTCTGATCCCTATCGCTGCCAAGATCGCCGAATATCCGGTCCATCCGATCCTTCGTCAGTTTGGTTACCTCTTCCGGTTCAGCAGAAATGTCAGCAATCTCAGTGAACAAGCAGAGAGGCTCAAAACTCTGCAGCTTCACGTGAATCAACAAGTTCAAAGAGCCATAAGTAGGGGAGATCTCATCGAACCCCAAGTTCATCGGTGGCTCTCGAGTGTGGGGCAGATCGTCAAACAAGTTGAGAAGATTGAAGAACAGAGCAAAACTAGCAGAAGCTGCTTCGGTGGATTTTGCCCTAATTGTGTTACTCGCTACTGTATCAGTAGAAAATCGACGAAGAAGATGAAATCCATTGCCGAGTTTCAAGAACAAGCCGGGAATTTCGATCGGATTTCTCGCCCGGCTCCTCTTCCAGGCATAGAGTACTCATCCTCCAGAAATTTCATTGCCTTTGACTCGAGAATCGAAGCTACAGATCAAGTTCTAAAAGCCCTGGAGGAAGATGAGTGTAATGCGGTTGTTCTTCACGGAAACAGAGGGATTGGGAAGACAGAATTGGCCAAAGAAGTGGGAAGAAGAGCCAAGGAGATGAACTTGTTTGATGAGGTCGTCATGGCTGTTGTTGATCCTAAGCCCGGCAGCACCCGTGACGTTAGGGATATCCAAAACCAGATTGCAGACATGTTAGGCCTGAAAATTCGAGAAGAGAGTGATTCTGGAAGAGCTCGCCGTCTGTGTTTGAGACTGAAGAATGAGAAGAAGACACTGATAATCTTTGATGATGTGAGAGAGAGGCTTGATTTGGAAGCCATAGGGATCCCCTCAGGATGCAAGATAATGATAGCTACAGAGAAGGAAAACGTGTGGAGAGCAATGGAAGATGAAGGAGCGAAGAAGGTAGAGATTAAGGCTCTATCTGAAGAAGAATCATGGAGTTTGTTTAGACGTGTGACAGGTGAGATTGTTGATAATGATCCTACTTTCAAGGTTGTTGCAGAGGACATTGTTGGAAAGTGCAGGGGATTGCCTTTGATGATTGTAAGTGTCGGAAAGAGGGTGAAGCACAGGAAGATTGAGGGATGGAAGGATGCAAGTAGGATAATTGGAAGACTTGAAACCAAAACTGGAAATTTAGATGAGCTTCTAAACACTTATATTTGATTTTCTTTTTGGGAGAGTGTTCGAAAGAATAATCACTTCATTTCATTTATTTTGAGCGTACACACATTCTCAATTTAAATCCCAAGAGAGTCACACCCCAAGATTTTCTATTATATTATTGACCTAGTAGATTAAAGAAGGTAAATGAATTAATTAATTTAATAAATATGACATGACTTTTTTAAAATTCTATGTATTACCCATAAGAAGTTGAAATATAGTTTAAACAAGCACATAAACATTTTGTAATTGAACAAACAATTGCATAAGTTCTTAACCATTCTGGTTGAAGAGGCTATGGCAGCCCAAGCATGAAACTATGTTCACATAATCATTATGTATGCTAACTCTCATCAACTCAAAAGAAAAGAAAACAAAACATATATCAATAAATTGTTTCACATGCGTTAATCAGGCAAGAAAGTAGATCAGATATGGGCCACATCAGCGATAAGCATTGCCAAGCAAGACCAAGCAGTAAAGAAGCGGCCAGAAAATGTACTAGTTACTGGCGTCTGGCAACAGTCCTTAATTCCCTACTCACCTCATACAGTTCATTTGCACGGGAGAGAATGAGAATGGGGGAACTTCAATAATTTGCCCCCTTCACTTTTCTGACTAAACAGTTCTTTTAGCCCAGCAGCCTTTGATATATAGTTCATATCTTTACTATAAAAAATAGTTCATTAATTTGAACAAATTAAGAAAATTTGTTAAGTTAATTATTTATAATAAATAAGTGTTGTCTTTCTTACAATACCCTTGCTAATCATATGTATTAGCTAGAATTACCATATAATGAAATCTTTAATATATGCAGCTACTACAAAGATTATTTTGAAAAAATAGATAAATATGAGAGACAAAATAGATTGGGATTTTTTATTTAGAACAAAATTGAAAATTAAAATAGTTCTTATATTAAGAATCAAAGATAGCACAAAATATCTAGTTGGGGAAGCTCTCGAGCTATTGATGCAAGAAAGAATAGTCTTTTCAATTTGTTACACCCTCCTTTGTTTGGGAATTCTAAAAAGTATTTTAAAAAAAAGATATTTTTAAATAAATCAAGACAAAACTACTCTCACATATTTATTTTAGAATTCTTAAAATTTCTTGTGAAAAGCTAATCAAAATACCCTCTTAGTTCTCTTATCTTCTAGAAACAAAGGGACAAAAATATACCTTTAAGCTTTTAACTTTGCATTGAATTTCAATTGTTTGATATGCTTCCCTCCAACTATACATTGCAGGCGAGTCTAAAGAATAAGCTGCATTAATTATCATGTGCAAAGTCTGATCCATCATCACCTTAAACAACATGGGGGGAAATTTTCTCACTGATCCATTACCACGTATGATCATAAAAGGAGCACAGGGACGAAGACTTTCTCAACACATCATCATCGTCATCTCGGGGGGGGGGGGGGAATTTCATCATCGATACCTCAAGCCAAGAAAACCTCACCATTCATCAACAATCATTAGTAAACAACATCAATTAATCAACCAAGACACAAGTTTTACAGCAGACAGTGGCGGGCATCCGGGCACTGCAAGGCCGGAGTCGCGCAGTCCCACGGACACGCAACCGTGAGCGGCTGAGAGTTCAAAGCTCAAAATGGACCCAAGGAAAACCATTCTTAAGATATTTATAGTTTTCTTTCATTTTCACCTTGTTACTTGTGAGTTTTTCTCTCCATATTAAATCATTTAATTTTACTTTACTAGTACAATTATTTTTTGTGCATGGTGTAATAATGCTAATGTAACAAAATTATAGGAATTAATGGTGTTAAAAGAGTCAAATTAAAAGATTTAATGAGGAGAAAAAACATGTAGGCATCAAATTAAAAAGGGTTAATGTGTATCCACAGCACCTTGAAGTATTTTTTTTGTCTTAGTGCTAGATGCACCAAAACATGTTTTATGGTGCTAAACACATATAATAAGGTACTTTTGATTGCTGGATACACCAAAAAATATTTCAAGGTGCTGATACAATTAAAAATACGTCAGGTGTTGGATGCACTATAAAATATTTCAAGCTACTAGATACACCTTAACCCAATTAAAAATTGAAAGCCATTATAGTTACCTCAAGGATGGTTTTTTCATAGATATATTCAAGGTAAATATTTGTTGGTTCAGGTCAAAAAAAGGAAATTTTTGTTGATAAAGAATAAACGATAAAAATTGGTTCAGGTAAATTTTTGTTGGTTCAGGTCAATATATTTCAAGAAGAAATCTTTCCCTGTTAGGGGAGTCAATAGGAGCTAAAAGTTGCCAGAATATCATATATTCATAATGTAATTCTCCTTACAATTCTATTGTAGCCTTCGAAATAGACTCGGACATAATGCTCTTACTAGAACACCCAACTTTTGCCAATGATGCCACATAGGTTATTCCAGGTGTAAGTGTTGTCTGTCAGGCTATTTTAGCCCCCCTTTTTTTTTTTTTTCCCTAATTCTATTGTCATTGAAATTATCTGCTTCTATTTTAATCAGGCTGCTGGGTCGTTATTAGTCAGCCACTTTCAGCCCTTGTTTAGGATTGCTTCACAGCTCTC